ACGTGTTACGTCGTGGCTGTTGTTGTGTTTTCACGACCGCGTCCCAGCGCACCAGTCCACTTTCCGTTCGCACGCACCCGCGAGACCACGACCGCCGTCGCATAGCCGTCTCGTCGGTCATACGTTCCCTCTCGTCCACGGCTGCACGCGTTTCTCTCTCTCTCTCTCTCTCTCTTTCTTCCTTCGTCCCACTCGTCCGCGGTCTCACTGCTTCCTCTCGCCCTCTCGCACCGCCGCCGACATTTCGCGCACGCGGTTCTCTTCCCGGCGTCATTCCTCTCGACCGATCACTACGATCGTAACCGTCGTATAACTCGCACGCGTCGCGCCACTCGTCGTCGTCTTCGTCACAACAATTTTGTAGTGCACCAGCCGTTTATTACGCGCTATTATCTTCGCTCGCCGTAGCCAGTTCGCGACCCCGACACACGCGCCATGGTCCGCCTAACGATGCTCCCGCAACCGAACAACTACTCATACGTATTCGATTTCGAGGAGAACTTCCACTACGAATGGACGCGGCAATGGATGACCGAGAACTGGACCAACGGGTTCTACTACTGTACCATTTACGCCATGGTGGTGTTCGGGCTCCGGCGCATGATGCGCGACCGCGCCGGGTTCCGGCTCAAAGGGCTGCTGGTGCTATGGAACACGATGCTGGCCACGTTCAGTCTGGTCGGGTTCGCGCGCACCGCGCCTGAATTGTTCCGCGTGCTCAACAAATACGGTCTGCACCATTCGGTGTGCGTCACCAGGTAAGCGTAACCGCCCGGCTCTGCGACTTACGACGCCACTCGCTTTCTTTCCCTTCGCCAACCCGTCTCCCTTTAACCGCACCCGACCACGTGCTTCGACGCGCCCGACGGGCGTAGCGGAATCAAAAGCCGCCGGCTAGGGGGCTGTTCGGCACGCTCGATGATCCCCGGCTGACGCGAACACTATACCGTGGTTGCGTGTGCGCTAGAGGTCGTCTTTGTCGCTGATAACGTTGCTGCCCGTCCTCGCGTGGGTTTCAACGAGGTCCCTACGAAATACTGCTGCGCTGCTAATCCAGTCCTATATCCACGATCGTTTGATTAGAAAAAAATCGTTTATTTCTCACTTTTACACTCATGGTTTTCGGTTTTCATGTTAATGACCATGCTCATTTTACTTCATCGTTCCATTAAATATCGGAGATGTTTTTGATTTTTGTCGTTTTCCAATTGTTTTTTATTCTTCATGTAATTCATTACATCGGGAAGTTTATCAATCTTGTCATTTGATTATTCAACCATTAGCGTTTAATCGTTTTCTATTAGTTTCTTGGCGGGTACTTAATTATTGGTAAATTAAAGTATAAATCTAGATAATAATTCAATTTTAATTAGGAATTTATTTAAATTATAGGTGAAATTTCATTAGGTATTTAGCATATGAGGTAACCTGAGGTCTTGTTTATTTGTATTAAATTTTATGAAATTAAACATTTTTTCTCAAAACATATACATACACATTAGATTACCTATTAATGTTTTTAAAAAGATAAGTTCCTTAGTAATTTTTCAATTTTAAATGGAGGTATTTTTATCAATAAACCATGTTATTGATAGGTGCCCATTAATAAACTAATAACTGTAGATGATTTATAATCATTAACAATTTCCTTAGTAATTAAAAACAAATTAATATTTAATAAGAAATATGGTCACAATTTCTTTTCGTTAATAAGTAGGTACTTAGTTAAATGTACGTATAATGTATATAGTGATTAACATTCTTCTATTGTTTTTTTTTTTTTTTTTTATTAAGCTATTTGTCCTATTTACATGTGCATACATTTTAAATTGATAGGTGGTATTTTTTAATTGGGTTAACATAATTTTACCAAGGTTTTTTGTGTTTTATATGATGTACTATTAAATTGTTGTATACTTATAAACATAACTTTTTTTTTTCAAAATATATCCTTAGATTATAATTGTTTTCATTATTTGCTAGTAAATAATTCACTCTTAAAATTAGTGTACAAAATCTTGTAGTATACATTTTATATTTTCATTAAATAAATAGATATGAAAAAATTGTTGACGTCAATCCCTATTGATAAAATAATTAATTATTTAATATATACCTAATCTGTATACAATTAGAAAATATTATATCTAACAATATTTTCTGTCAAATTTAGAACCAAAGTTCTTTATTAAATAAATAATTAATTGATAGACTCTTTTAAATCTGTATTGCAATATATTTATTGGTACTTAGTTGAAATCTGATATTGAGAATCAACAAAGTTCATTTCTAAAGTCTTATAGAAATTCTTAGTATTTTATACTTATAATATAAATAATTGATTTTAATTCTAAAACCAACGTAACTAAAACCAAATTTTTTATTAATTTTTTTTTTTTTTTTTGGTTAAATTAAAATATTATTTTACTTTAGCGTTGTAGGTATTACAAATTGTAATTACTAATGTTTTGAATTTAGACTTTTGGTCTGTTGGCCATTACATTGTAAGGTTAATTTTTTTATTTACTAATATTAATCAAATAATAGGAGTATATTGCTGACAAGGAAAATATATTATGACATAGGTATTTGGGATAAATATTAAAAATCTTATAAATTGTATTTTTATTAAATTCTCTTTGTAGATAATTTTTTATAAATATAATAGAAAAATACTAAATTTGACCCCAAAGTAAAAGATCAACTACAATGTAAAAAAAAAAAAAATTGATGATCTTAGAATCGTCAAATAGTTAGATATGATTTTTTAGTTTATTGATGCAATTTAATGTTAATGAATATTCAACACATGAGTATACACAAATAGCTCTAAAGTTTTTTCTTGTACTTAATATCAGATAGAAAATATACAATATTTATGATTTTATTTGTATTTTACTATGAAAATATTATTTGTGATATTGATACATATTCAAATTGAAATGTTACATTTATAGTTATATTATTTAAAATTTTATTATCAGAGAAAATTTTCTTATCTTTCTGTGATTTGATTTAGGTATTATCTTTGTATTGAATCAGAGATCCTGCTGTGTTGTCCTGTAATAATATATGATATACAAATCATATACTGTCATATACTATCATACAAATGATAGACTGAAAGAATAAAATCTGGAATTAATTAATATGGAATAATTTCTTAAACAAATTATTGTAGATAATTGTTCCAATATTGATTATATTATTAATACTGTTACGGATTTCTATTAAAACAAGAAATACGGTAACATTTTAGTTGCACATTAATTCAGTTTTTATGTATATATAATGCGTGTTAACATTTTGGTAACATTGGCCTTTAAACTTACAACAACACTTAACCTCTTGGACCTTGAAAATTACATTCTAAAAAATACCCTCGTATTATAATCATACAATATAATATGTTTACAAAAATTGCAGTAGACAAATTTATTTTTTTTTACAAGTAATTCAATCAAAGTATAAAATATTATTCGTAACAATGTGTAATACATTATTAATTTAAAACACTTCGAACTTGTCATCACGTATATTTATGAACTAAAAATAAATATTATGTTCACGGTTTTGCAATAATATCAATTGCTCGATGAGGTTGAAATTCGCTGCGGCGATATAGAGGTGCTTAAGTAGCTATAGTTAAATTATATTGTACTCGCACAATAAATTCCCGTGACTAATATTTCAAATTCAATTAATCGTTAAACGGTTGTCGTTTTTATGTTCATGTTGTAATTTTGACATCTTATCGTCAACTACTGTGCTACACGTTAGACGACAGTGTTTTGCGAGGTGTTTTGTTACGTCATTTGAAATTGCTTACTTCAATATGTACATACTCGTCGGTTTTATTTATCATAATTGTAGATCACGATTTTTAAATTTCAAAGAAATCCTCTTTAATGTCTATCGATTGTTTAATACATAGTTGAAGTATACAATGAACTTCAATTTTTTTCTCTACCGCTTTCCGTATAGATTTACTTACCATGATTTATGCAGTGACATATAGGGTAGTCGAACGTTTAAGATGCGTTTATCGCGTCTTATTAAAACAAATTTTGATTCTATAAATACATAAACAGCATAAAGACGGCTACGAACGTCGCTAGTGTCACTTTTAGTAAGATAAATATTTTATTTAAATTATCATTGATTATCCGCATTAGAATATATTGATTAATTTATTGTGAGCAGTGTTTATGTATATGATTTAAATGACCGGAAATCATATTTCGTAATTTTATTAAATTAATTATAAACTGATAAGTAACATATAATAATTGGATTCAAAACTCAAGTAATTTTTTTGGAAATAATTAAATATTTAAAATGTTATGGTATTACGAAACTAATTTTATTTGATTTAATTTAATGTAATTATGTTTTCGACTGTAGTTAATTAAGAAATAAATATTTTAGGTTCTAATAGTTAATAAACAATTTAAATATTAGGTTTGTTATTGACAATACCAAGATGTTAATATTTACTTTTCTTTATTTTAATCAAATAGCATAATAGATTGTATGGTTATAATAAATAATTTTTTTTTTTTTTTTAAAAAAATCGGTTAGAATTTAATTGTTTTCGATTCATAGATTTCTGACTAAATATTGTGTTTTTTGAATATTTATATTTTTAAAAGTAATTTGTTTGCAGCTATATCGTGTTGAGTTGACTTTAATATAAATAATTTTCGGAATTATGGCATTTAGAATATATTAATTTATTTTGAGCAGTAGATTTTTTTTTTTTTTTGGTTCATTTATTAGCGAGTTTCTAAATTACTTTTGTATGTTTTTCACCTTATTATTTGGCATATCACTTTTAAAAAAGTTTCAAGTTTGAAGTACTTTTATTATAATTGATTTTTTATGCACATTGTATTAATTTGTCATAATAATAGAAAAGTCCTTATGCATATAATATTGTTTAATGATATTACAATAATTGTTTATATATGAATGAAATTCCACATGACTTTTAAATCTAGGTCATTGCATCTTATTATCTTTTGAAGTGTTTTAGTTTAATGTTTGTGTAGTCAAAGGGTTGTCAAAGAATATGATTTTTATAATATTTTTCTTTTTTAAAAAAATAAATCACAACATAATTTTAATGTAAACAATTTTAGAATAAAATCAACAGTTACAAAAAAAAATTTGTAATTTGTTTAAATGTTCATTGTTTCTTAATTTTGATGTTATATATAATTTCATAATATATTCTCATCGTCCGATTGTTTATATCAATTAAACGGTTTTCATAGTTGAGACATTTGATAAATGTTCGAATAAATGGTTCAGCCTTAATTCGAGGTCGAATTAAGTAATTTATTTAAATATCACATTTTATTAGCATGTAAATTACAAAAAAGTTTTGCATACAGTAAATTAATTGAATAACTATCTATTTTTTATTGGAAAAGCTAAAAAACTAACTACAAATAAGTTTTATTTATATTAATTAATAAACAAATAGTTTATATATAGAAATAAATAAAAAGCTTTGCCTGAAGTATTACTGCATTTTTAATTTGAAACAGGTCGTACCTACTCTACAAATATAATAATTAATAACTATAACTTCATTAATAATATATAACCATTTACTAATTTTTATTTTCATTTTTTTTTTTATTATATAATCTGTTAAATTATATTAGCACTTTTAAGTATATTAAGAATTATTAAATATTATATTATATTGAATAAATTATCTCATATAATATTATGATCGAGACTACTTAGAGATAATAATTTATTCTATTTCCATTCGTACAATTACGTAGGTAACGGAAAAAAATCATACCTAATTACTGTTAAAATTTTCTTTTTTTTATCTTGCTATATAATTACAATTAATGTACCTGTTATTGTTTTAGGACTAATGATGGTAGTCTTATAGATAAATATCTGTATTAGTTTTGTTCATAAACTAAGGTTGAATCTGTTTAGATAAATATTTATTTAAATTAGAACATTTGATAATTAAAATTTATATTTTATATTTTTTGACATTATTGTTTTAATTTAATTCCAAATATTTGGTTTGGTTCGATGGGCTCGGTAGTTATGAATTTAATTGCAATCTCTAACATTTCAACTTTCAACCATGTTTGTATTCATCTTAGTATTATAACTAAATTAAGCTTTGTAGTTATTGTATATACAAATGTGTTATGCACTATTGTATAAAGGGCTCAACCCGTCAAATATTAATAAATAAAATAAAATAAATTTCTTATCGGTTAGTTGATTTCCATAAGTTTTCGATGCTACAATATCTTCGAAGTACAATATGATATACTCGGGACATTCCTGGAGTGTATTGTTTATGAATATTTATATGGCATATCGCTGAGGACAATTGCGATAGTAATTACTGAACATTACACCAAAGGTAATCCTGATTAAACTCCCAGCGAGTATCATCTGTTTGGTTTTATTAATCCATTTCATCTCTACAAGACCGCATTGATGTTTTTTCCTACATTAAAATTTATTGTAAAAGAGGCGGGGGGGGGCAACGCTTACTACGTCTCCGGAAATAGTATAAAATTCCTGTTCATAAATTCATGAAATTAGCATATTAAATATATTGCTGGTTTAACTGCATGTCGATTACCTGCACATGTCTACAAGTATTCATAGCCGTCGTTGTGAATTAATTCTTGTGACTTCCTGTTCTAGAGAATTGTTGATAAACATTATTCGCGTAAACATTTCGCCTCAACGAATACCTTCAGCATTACGATTTCTAGATGTGTTATCAGGTTTATTAAATATTTTTTCATTTTCCGTTAAGCAAAATAAAACGACATTTTTAGTATATAAATATAATTATTGTTACGTTTGAGCAGTGTATTTTACAAAGTTTCAATATTATTTTTCTCGTTCGTTCGGTATACGAACACGTTTGTCCCTGCACTCTGCTATTAAGTAATCTCATTGCAATTTCGTATGGTATGAAAAATACCTTGTTGTGCATCGTATTATGTAATTTAACAATGCCGGCGACTATACTCCGAACTTGTGGTCGGCCAAAGTATAGCGTTTTGGAAGGCTTGTGTGATCTAACGATGTAACTAAAATTTGATAGCATCATGGCGTGGTATATATTGGTGTAAAACATTTTCAAAGTTCATTGACTGGTAAAACCATAATTAATAGAATATTACTCTATTATCTATGGGTAAAATACTCGTCACTGTGTAGTTTGAATCCGATTTAACGTGTAATACTATTATTAGAGCTCGAAAGTTGATGCATTTTGCATTTTTTTTTTTATTTTGAAACTTTTAAGCCGATGCTCTCCTGGATACAAATGTGTTTTACGAGGTGTTTTATTAGCATTTGAATCTGAATAATTAATTTTTATTTTGCATTTTTTGGTGTTTTCTTACTTTTAAATCCATTTTTCGGCATTTTTAGGACATTTTCCCACATTTTTACTCAACCAAAATTGCGTTTCAACCAATGGTTTCGTATATTTAGTCTCGTTGAATTTACTTATTCCGTCACGTACCGTAACAGCAAGATCGAAATGACCTTTGAGTTTGATAACATTTTTCTTTAATTTGTATTTTTCGCACCTTTGCTTTTTACGGTCGTTTCTCCCCGAATCTGAGAATTATTTCCGAATAGAATTATGATAAATAATCATTAATATTTACGGATCGAGTTTGCCGCATAATTTTATAGTTATCAGGAAAATACTTAGTTTTTTCATTAATTTTTTACGGAATCGTCGTGGTACACATTAATTTTATAGCTGATACCATTTGATTTCATTTTGTTAACAGCAACATGAATTAATATGTTGTGTGTGCAATTACAAATGGTATGACGTGGTCTCCACACCAAATTCGAACAACAAAAGTAGGTAGCAATTTCAATGGAATTATGTTGATAAATATATACTTTATTATCGGCAGTTAATTAGAAATTACTATTGTTGAAGGACATTTTTTTTTTATACCATAGTTTTCTGTTTTATCCAACCATTTTTACTAAGTAAAAATGGTTAATATATGTCTGTTCAATATAGTAATACTGTGATATTAAGATTTTTTTATTCAAATTAAATTTCAATCTATGTTACTGTTTGGTCTGGATTTTAAAATCTTTCGCGTTATTTCTCATCTACATAACAGTTATAATTTGATAGAAAAAATTAAACCGCACTATTTTTATTTTCAATTGGATAAAATTAAAACAATTAACATTTGATATAATCTTTGAATTTATGCTTATAGAAAAAAAAATAATAATAATGATTTTGAAAAATGAATGAATTTTAATATTCAAATCATAAATCGACTAATAATTGGCTTATTTTTTTATATCTTCTAAAAACGATAAGACACTGTTGATAATGTATTGCGTGGTTAACATTATAATGTAACAAATTATTAAATAATCAATAATTGTATACAATATGTAGTATTACTTATCGCATCTATAACAATAATAGATTCGGAATAATATGTTGTCGAACCCTTGAATATAAATTCAAACGTCGGATTTCAACAAAGGTGTGATTCATTATCAGACAAAGGCGACAAACTTTTTTAACTCGCTCGACAAACCATGCATCGTAACATTCGAGGTGTCGACGTACGTTTTGTGTGTTTCAGTACGACAAAACGATTTTTCTAAACCTTTCACACCTTTCCAGTCGCCGGCTGGTAGCCGAACCCCTCACCCGCGGGTTATGCGCCTTTACCCCCCCCCCCCCAGCAAGTCAGCAAATCTAATTCTTATTTTCTTTTTGGTTTTTTTTTTTTTTTTTTATGTTCTGATTATTTTTTTCTCTTGTTTCGTTCACTCAGCTTCGTCGAGGATGACCCGGTGTCCGGCTTCTGGTCGTGGCTATTCGTGCTGTCCAAGCTGCCCGAGCTGGGCGACACGATATTCATTGTGCTCCGCAAGCAGCCACTGATCTTCCTGCACTGGTACCATCACATCACCGTGCTGCTGTACACGTGGTTCTCGTACATGGAGTTCACGGCGTCCGCGCGGTGGTTCATCGTCATGAACTACTCGGTGCACTCGATGATGTATACGTACTACGCGGCGCGCGCCATGGGCTACCGGCCGCCCAAGTCCGTGTCCATGTTCATCACGGCCAGCCAGTTGACGCAAATGTTGGTCGGCTGCTTCATCAACTACACCACGTACGGGTACCTGAAGGCCGGCGGGCCGCACTCGTGCCGCGTGTCCAAGCTCAACATCATTCTGTCGTCCACCATGTACCTGAGCTACCTGATACTATTCGCCCGGTTCTTCTACAACGCGTATATACTCAAGTCCCGCGGCGGCGGCGCGTCCAAGAAGTCGTCCAAACAACACTAATCGCAACGAAGACGACGACGGCGAAGGCGGCGGACGTGAATACACCCGCGCGCACTACCCCTCCCCCTCTACTATCGATGTGTGCTGTCGCCATGCAAGCTCGCGCCGATTATTAATTTTCAACCACGTGCACTGATATATTATTATTATGATTATTATTATTACTATTATTTATGAGATAAACATGCTGCGATAGATCATTATTATTATTAATATTATTATTATTATAACTTTTTTTTTTTAATTTTATTTATGATCAGCGAGAGTCGAACACGTGTTAAATTTTTATTTGTCTTTGTAACTGAGACTCGTTTGCTCGGTTATATCTTATTTTCATCCAGTTTTCTATTTCTTTATTTTACTGTTTTTTTTTCTAAATAGACAATAATAGGTTTTTTTTTATATGTGTATGTATAATATCTACTTAGTTCGTTCTAAACCACAACGAAGAAAAGTCTTAAGTGTCCTACTAAACTTTGTTTATCGCATATTGTTGATGGATGTGCATGTAGGTTATAAAAACCTAACATGAAGAAAAAAATAGAAAAAAATATATTTTACAAGTATTTTTTTAGTTTGTTTTAGTTTTAATTTGTACATAATGAACTAAATTCTATATATATATATATATAATTTTTGTGGTGAACGTTTCCAGTGAGTGTGATCGTCTACGTTATTATATATTACACGCTGCTTGTATGTTTTTGTTCTTAAATTTTGTTACTAATAATAATGAAACCGATTAATATTACAAATCGGTGTTGTAAGATGGACCGGGTACATACAAAACCACCTTATTTGATATTTAAATAATGAGATACGCCTAGATGTATTTGTTATTATTAAAATCGATGTAGGCGACTTTAAATATTTTTACATTAAAAATCAACACATTTTACATTAAAAAAATTACGTATGATGTGGTTTATTGAATTGTGTTTTTACTTTAAAAAAAATCGATAATTATATTTATACTATCCCGACTAGCGACTTATGATTTCGGATGATTGTCGATTTGTAATCCGTAAAAATGCGTGTGTGCCCAGTCCTACATTTATAACAACACAAAATAACATAATGTACTAATTGTATAATTATACAGTATATGAGTTGCGATTCACTAAATATGACCTTTTTTTATACGATTGAATTACATAAACCTCGTTTATATAATGAACAAGTTTTTGTGATCGTTCTGCCCTTACCTACCTATAACTATTTAATATTATAATATTACCGTTACGTGTATCCCAATTTGCTTTATTTAGTTATGAATAATTGTATTCGATATGTATTTTTGGTATCGCTGGAAGATTGTGTTGAGGTAGTGTTCGGTGTAACATATTGTAATTTCGGCAACAGCTGTTCAGAAGAGGTCGACCTTCATAACAGGACTTTATAGTGAATATGTGCATGGATGCGATTCATAATTAAACAGTGATTTACAAAGTAAAACATGCAAATGATTTATTATAATTTGTATTATCATATTATGTTGATACAAGCAAATTAATTCAACTCTTCAAAATCGAGATTGTGCCGTAATTTTAACTACAATTTGATTTAAATAATAAGAAACATCCTGCTTTGGACTTGGCTACAATAACAATAAATAGAGGAAAAAAATTGTTCCCTTGATTTTGAAAACTAGTTAAACAAGCCGATCTGGGTGTTCTTGAAACTAACTTAAAATTGAAAAAACAAATATTTTTTAGTGTTACGCTCATATCGTACCTTCATTATTCGTCATGACCTTGCTACAATATCCGGAAATGTATGTGTGCCTACGTTGGAAAATAATGGATTATTTGAAGAACATAAAACCTTTAGAAGGTAAGTACATATTGTGATTCTCGTTTGATAGACGCCGTCATCGGTCGTTCCATGGTTACTATAATCGGAGGAGTAATTTAGGGGAGGGACAACTTATGTATTTGTCGCAGTCTATAGTTTAGCTATTCCAAAGTCAGTACATCTTCACAATATATATACGTATTTTACATGTTGTCAATCAGATTAAAGAGACGGATACTTATATACCAAGTACAAATCATTAAATGTTTGGACTGGTTTATGTCCCCCTCATCACACGACAATTGGCACTTAAGTTAGCTGTCGAGTCGGCAATTTAATAAGAATATGTAGAATACTCAGCTTTAGAAGAAACTGAAATGACGTGCTATTAACAATATTAACTGTAAGAAGCAGCGACCATCATCGCATAACCTTTATATTAGTTAATCAAATAAATTGAAAATTATGCATTTATCGTTTTCTACTTGAAACGAAACCATACAATTCCGATCACCTTGTACCTGCAACTTTGTGTGCCAATGTTTCGGTCATGTTATAATCTAATTTGGTATTCTAATTTTTAGTTTAAAGTAGTTCAGATTTGATAACGTGTACCTACTCACTATGATGTATGTTGCTACAACATGATAGTAATATCTCAAGACTTCCCAGCCCCGTTCACATATAAATACTACCGTTTGAAAGTCACCAGATGTTTCAAAATACTTTTCATATGCGGTCGATGTAATACCGAAAAATTGGAAATGTTTATAGAACCGAACAAATCTTTACAGACATGGACAATAGAGCTACGTTTGCGGTAGAAATAATAAGGTTTGAGGTTAAATATGATTTTTTTTAATTGACATTGACCTCTGGAAGGAGGACGTGAATTTAACCAACCGTGATGGAGGCTTTGTTTTTCTTCGTTTTTCTCCAATGAGTGTTGCTACAGTGAATATACCTATTAATATTTGTTCCTTGTCTTCCATTATCGTCTTTGTTCCTACTGTTTATCAAGACTATAGCGTTTCTCGGATCATTAACGTTTTATAGTAAGTTAGTTGACGATATAACACAGTGAACTAGTCACACTAGAAATTAATACATTATTTTAGAGTATCGAAGAAAAAAGTAGAATCTAGGGTGCGGAGATTGTAAATTAGTATCTGCTGTAATCAGATTAGATAGCAAGTTATTTGTTTTGATTTATTCAGCATCTCGTGGAAGGACGTGGACCGGCAGCCCTGTTATATTTAAAAATTTTGATGAACAACGTTCAGCATACATTTATATGCAAAGACGGCTTGATCATGAATTTTGTGGTTTACTGAACCATCAAATATTTTGGGATAGGTGTCATTTTTATAGGTGGGTACTTGATCTTGGCTACTGGCAGCGGTAGGCAGTGGTTTATTACGGGTGGAGGGCGATAGGTGGACCGCCCCCCCCCCTTGAGTGGTGTAAAAATTAAAAATGTGAATGAGTATATTGATACCCTATATTTTTATGTTATGCCATTGTGGTATAAAGTTCATAGAATTTAAAATTATTTCTCATGTATCAACCAATAGAAAAAAATAAATGGAATATGTATGCAAATTGTAAGTATATGCAAAATGTTCTCCCCCCCATTGTGGCTTCTCAAGAACCATCACTTGTGGTATATAATATATAATTGGCAATTTAATAAAACTTGGGTAAGTTTTTGTACCTTATATGACTGGTAGGTGGGTGGGTGGTAGATGCTTGAACCACTAACTGAAAAATGTTGACGTGCACTTGTCTCGCTTGGTTCAGAGAAGCATGCCAATTTTTCAGATTTTATTCTCGGGCTTCCAGACTAATAATTCGGTGCAATATAAATATACATACGGGATATTTGTACAAACATCTACTTTTACCGTAGTATTAACGTGATTATTACGTAGACGTACCTAAGTGTAAATAAAGCATTCTACTCGCTGGTCAGCTGATGTAATCCTGTTAGGTGTTAAAGAGTGACAGAACTGAATAGGAGAGCGAAAGGAGGTAACTTGTATCGTAGTTATGTTTTTTATTTAGAAAGTCATTATAATGTCTGGTAAAGATTTCAAGTATTGTAATCCGTGATGATAATAAATCTACAGTACATGTGAGCTTGTCGTGTACGGTATTATATAGATTTGTAGTGGGGGGGGCAGCATATCTCGAACCGGTTTGCACTCAGTTTTATTACTTATAAAAATATATTTTGATTCTATCCAAAAATTCTTTCGAAAACAACTTAACCATATTCGCTATATTATTTTGTTAAAGGATTGTTTTTCCGTTTTTCATAACACATATGTTTTATGCCTTTACTTTTGTATATAGGTATTTCGCTCAGTGTTCGCTAGAAAAAAATTACAATTACGCAACTTGGTATTTAAGTATCTATAAATACTGGTGTGAAAATCATCGTGGCTTAATAGCTCTCTTTGGAAGTATTGTACTGGAAAAAATCTCGTTATTTCCCATTTCAATGTTCTTTAAGTTATAACTAGATTAGAAAAAAATATGTTGACTATTTGACTACTTCTAGTTAGTGATTTATTATCTTTTTTTTTTCTATATTTGTTAAAAGTTAAAAAAGTATTCGGAACACTGTAGGTATTTCGATTACTTGTAAAAAGTATTTAATATACTATATTAAATACTTTTAAAAAAAGTATTTTAAAAATATTCGGAATACTACCTAAGTTTGTAATCTAGTGTATAGTCTGAAACGCATTTTATATTAGTTTTGTTCGTTATCTACATGTATTATCATATTATTTGGGACTTATTTGATAAATACAAAAATACAATACAGTATAATTCAATAAATGATTCCATTTTCCCAGCATAGTCTTGGTCTATCCAGAGGTCTTTTGCTCCTCGGGTTTTCTTGAAGCACTCTTTGATGAACTATTGAATTTTGCTTTCTACATACGTGGCCTGTCCATTCCAAATTACTCCGTTTGATCTCATTTACAATACTTGATCTATTGAATATCTTCATTAGTTCTTGGTTGTGTCTTTTCCTCCATCCTTGAATATCTTGATCATATATGGGTCCATATATTTTGCGCAGTACCTTTCTCTCAAAAATATATAATCTATCTTTCTCTGTCTTTCGCAAAGTTCAACATTGTGAACCATACATGACAATTGGTCGTATGACTATCGGATATAACTGTATTTTAACCTCTTCTGAAAGGATTTTAGAGTTCAATATTTTACCTAGTGCAAAGAAGAATTTATTTTTCATTTTAATTCTTTGTTGGATTTCTATTTGACATTCATTCTTTTGCGTTACAATAGTGCCCAAGTATTTGAAATCCTCCACTTTTTGAACTCGTATTGACCCATTGTTATGGTTTCGGTTATAG